ATGATGTGCAGCTGCGGTATAATGCTCCGGGGTTTAGCTATGGGGTGGAAAAAACGTGGTTTGGAATAAACCTGGTTCACGCATAATACCGTATGTCCCAACCAAAAAGCCAAATTACAAGTCGTTATTGAATAGTTTTGTTTTTTTTTCAAATTTAATCGGTCGAATGTCACAATATTATTATGATGGTTTAGTATGCACGATTCTGGCGAGAAACGAAATTCTAAACAACCGCCAAAGATATTGTCTCGTTGATCATTCATTATTACATGCTTTTAATCGTTAAAATATTACGTCTTGGATGCGTTTGATTTTAACATGATAAGAATATATTGCTAGAAAATCTTCATAATAATCTATGACCCCCGAAGATTACGAAACAAACGAGCGTGGTATTGTAATTTTAAAATGGACGGAAACCATATTGTATGACGCGTATATCATCACGATGTGCAGCTGCGGTACACTCGTGCCCGGGTTTAGCTATGGGGTGGGAAAACGTAGTTTGGAATAAACCTGGTTCATGCATAATGTCGACCAAAAAGCCAAATAAGAAATTATAAAACAGTTTTATTTTTTTCAAATTTAATCAGTCGAATGTCATAATAAAATTATTACGACGGTTTATGGTCTGCACAGTTCTGGCGTGAAAATATTCTTAACAACCGAAAGGTATTGCGTATTTGCGTCTCATTGATCATTCATTATAATATTACGCTATTAATCGTTAAATGAATTGGATTCGTTTGATGATATTTTCATAAGAATATTACTAGAAAATATTCATAATAATCTTTGAGCCCGCGTATTACGAAACAAACAAGCGTGGTATTGTAGTTTTTTAATGACTTTAATTTAAAAAAATATAAAACTTGCCGTTATCATTGCCGTGTACTCAAATCGATTTGACTTTTTACGGCATCAGCTTCATAGTTAAATGTCGAGTAAATCACTAATGATACAATTATTATTATTATTTTTTTTTTTTGTCGCTATCATTGGATTGTGATTTACCTATAATATTCTATGTATTCTGCAGCAGTTAATAATAATATTCAGTTCGTGTCCCGCTATCGTCCAAGCAGCACGTGTGTTACCTTTGTATCCGTTATCGCTTTATAGCTGTCGTTAGCACGTTATATAACATCAAGGTCGACACTTATCGCAGGTAATATGTAATTTTATATACACATATACCTATATCTTACTAAATTAATGAACAAAACAATTAAAACACCGTCGTCGTGCGGTGAATCAACTTCCAATTCAACCCAACATAAAATGTCTATACAAAACAAAATATCTAAACCTAAATCAAACATGCCACCTTCACCAAACCAATCTACCGAAAATCTTATCTCTGACACCTCAAAAAATATGGATAACAATCTACCACAACAAAACATTGCAACCCAAAAAAAACTTTCGCAGAATCGTTAAATCCTAATCCTTTTCCAAAAAAAGATCAGGCCATTATATTTGATATAGAAAACGAAGAAATACAATTAAAAGATTACATTATCGAAATAGGAAAAATAACCAAACCAGAAAATATTATTTTCGTGTCCAAAATATCTAAAAAACGAATGTGTATCTTTTTATCGACAAAAGACCTAGCGAACAAACTAATTCAAGACAACGAAAATTTAGTTGTGCAAGGCCAAAATATTAAATTAAGAAAACTATACAATCCGGATAAAAGAATCATCCTTGCAAATGTATACCCCAATATACCACACGCAATAATAATAGAAGCACTTAAAGAACACAACATAACACCCACCAGTCCTATATCATTTCTACGTGCAGGTATTCACATCGAAGGTCTTACACACATACTAAGTTTTAGACGCCAAATGTATATATCTCCCGAAGACGAAAACAAAATACCTAGCTCTATACTGATCAACTTTGAAAACGCAAACTATAGGGTATTTCTGTCTAATGACGAATTAACCTGTTTTTTATGCAAAAAAATCGGACATACTTCAAACAATTGTCCCAAAGCAAATGAACTCAAACCCACTGATACAAACATTATTAGCCCACTGCCAAATCCCCAAACACAGATAGAGTTAGATGAAACTGAACCTAAAACACCCATACATCTAGAGTCGGAAATTGATTTTTATGAACCAATGGACCAGTCTCAAACCGATGATAAAGTTCAACAAATTGAGACAAAACCACTTCCAAATACTAAAAGATCAGCCTCAACACAATCGCCCACATTGTCGGCCTCAACAATATCAAACAAGGTGACCCCCGCACCAAATCAAACCAAAACACAGAAAACTAACCCTACAAAAAAAACAAAATTAACTCCCGCGACTGAAAACTTCGTAGAAAACATTGATACACATTTATTACCAATTAAAAGTTTTTTTGTCAATAATAAGGAATTGCCAATTAATTACCCACAATTCAGAGATATAATCGAAAAGGTACAAATCAATCCAGATCCAGAATTTATATTTGAACAGTACAACATTTCATTAAAAGCCATGATAGATTTAATTGAAAAAGTCAGACCTAAACTTCAATCTAATAGTAGTAAAATACGTTTTACTCGTCTGCACAACGAACTATTCAACAAATATCTAGACAAACAGCTGAAGCCAAACACACAAAACTAAAACAATCCACTATCCTACTGCATTAGAAAAAAAAAAAAAAAAAAAAAAATTAAAAATGAATAGTAAAAATACATTTAATAATTTTTCAACAAACAACTCAAATATTAACATCCTTCAATGGAATGTAAATGGTTTCTACAATAGACTCAACGAAATCCAAATTTTAATCAACACACAAAACATCAATATTATTTGCTTACAAGAAACCAACTTCACACATAAGTCATTGCCTAACATCAAAGGCTACCAAGCCTTTACCAAAAATCGAAACGACTGCAGCAGGGCCAGTGGGGGAGTTGCCATTTTTACGGACACTTCGTACCCAGCACAAGAAATACCAATAATATCCCAACTGGAAGTAATTGCAATCAGATTAAAAACCAAAGAAAATGTAACAATATGTAACATCTATTTACCTAACCTCACTAATTTCAACCTAAATGATATCCAAGATATAATAAATCAACTTCCTACACCTTTTTTTTTACTTGGCGACTTTAATAGCCATAACATTCTGTGGGGCTCTCAACACACCGATACCAGAGGTCGTATCATTGAAACAATTCTAGATAACCCCAATATTATGTTATTAAATGATAGAAATGACACACACTTTACCACAGCTTCAGGCAATACATCTGCAATCGACCTATCTCTATCGTCTACGTCAATAGGCTGCAATTCCGAATGGAAAGTAATACCAGCAATATATAGTAGCGACCACTGGCCCATCATTATCAACATTAAATATCGAAATATCGCGGAACACTACGAGCTCCCCCCAAAATGGAATCTTAAAAGCCCAAATTGGGAATTGTACACTCAATTAACCGACTACGAATTAGATAAATTATATATACCAGAAAATGAAGATGCTGAAGTAACACTTGAAACTCTCGAAAATATTATATTAACCTCAGCCTCCAAATCAATAAGAATTACTCGATACAAAGGGAAAAAACCCGCGGTCCCTTGGTGGAACGAAGCTTGTGACATATCTATTAGGAACAAAAAAAAAGCCTATAACAAATTCAAAAAAACCAAAAATATATTCGACTTAATTGATTTTAAAAAACTCAGAGCTATAGCCAAACGAACCATTATTGATAGCAAAAAACTAGCTTGGCAGCACTTTACGAAAACATTAACAACCACTACTTCCCCATCTGAAGTTTGGGGAAAAATTAAAGCAATGAAAAATATACCAGTATACAAAAACATAAAATTTTTACAAACTGATACTCAAAATTTAACGGCATCTATAGACATAGCAAATGAACTTGGTCGTAAGTTCGAAGAAAATAGCAATAATTCATCACTAGACCCACTTTTCCTAGAACATAAAAAAGACAATGAGGATTACAATATATTTAAAACACCACAAGCGATCTCACTCATAGATGAAGACCTAAGATCATTAAATGATGAAATTACTATTAGCGAAATAATGTTAAGTCTCAATAAATCCAAAAGCAAGAGTTGTGGTCCCGACAATATCCCTATAGACTTCATACGACACTTACCTACCCAAGGAATAAACTTAATATTAAAAATATTCAATAACCTCTATCTTACCAACAAATTCCCCAAACAATGGAAGAAAGCAACAATAATCCCTATCCCAAAATCGTCAAACAATCAACATACCACCGAAGGTTACCGGCCTATATCGCTCCTCTGTGCATTAAGTAAATTGTTAGAAAGAATAATAAATAACAGACTCAGTTGGTACCTTGAAAAAAAAAATCTACTTGGGGAAAAACAATTCGGTTTCCGGAAACAAAGAAGTACCTACGGTTGTCTAACCAACATCGAAACTGAAATTCGCGACACATTCACTACAAAACAAAGTATGGTACTTATATGTCTCGACATATGCAAAGCCTACGATACCGTATGGCGATACAAGGTACTCAAAACTCTATACCACTGGGGGATCCACGGCAACATCCATGCATATCTTCAACATTTCCTATCAGATAGATCATTCATTGTAAAAGTCAACAACACACTCTCAGATGAATTCACTCTAGTCAATGGAGTGGTGCAAGGTTCCCCCATTAGTGTTACTCTTTTCTTAATTGCTATTAATGAAGTTACTAAAATAATAAAACTGCCCACACAAATCAATATATTTGCCGATGATTTAAATTTACACTGCAAAGGCATAAATAATAAATCCATTTTAGAAAACATCCAGCTTAGTGTAGATACAATAAATGATTGGAGCAAAATAAATGGTTTCAGATTTTCACCAACTAAATCCAAATGCATAGTTTTCTCTAAGAAATCAGAAACCAGAAACCAGAAATTAAACTCAACAATGTAATTATACCCATAGTCAACGACATCAAAATTCTTGGAATGATTTTCGACAAAAACCTGAACTGGAACAAGCATTTTTCATTCTTAAAAACAAATACTTCCAAGTCCACCAACATAATTAAACTACTAGCGAACAACAAATGGGGTGCTCAAAACAAAATCCTTCACAATGTTTACAAAACACTGATTAGAGCTAAAATAGAATACGGTGCTATCATATACGGCAGTGCAAAAACAACAAACCTAGAAAAACTCGAGACAATTCAAAACAACAATCTACGCCTAATAACAGGTGCATTTAAAAGCAGCCCGATCAAAAGTCTTCTTTGCATTACTGGGGAGATATCCCTAGAAAAAAGACGCAAATTACTCGAACTACAATACGCATTCAAAATAGCCTCACATCCAAACAACCCGACCTATAATTCCATATTTGACAAAAGAAACAATAACGCATATTATCTAGAGACCAACACAAGCAAACCAATTGGCAGACGGATAGAAAACTTTTTTAATGCCCATAGTATAAACCCAAAACATATAATAAAATCCGAATTTCCGATAAAACCCCCTTGGAGACCAAATAATTTTGAAATCGATCTTAGCTTTGCTGAAAGCAACAAAGGAAACACCGCCCCTCAGATTTTTAGGAATCTTTTTAAAGAAAAAACACAAAATAAAGATGATGTATTAGTTTTTACGGATGCACCAAAACCGAAAACAGCATTGCATTTGCAATAATAATCAATGGTTCAGCACACAAATTCAGATTACCTGCCCTAAACAGCATATTCACCGCAGAAGCCTTAGCGATCCAAAAAGCAATCCATATAATCAAGGAAATGCCTAACAACACCTTCAATATACTAACTGACTCTCTGAGTACACTAATAAGTATCCAAAACCCCATTAAAAATAATGAAATAGCTAATAATATTACCAATCTTCTCAACAGCACTAACAAACTTATAACACTAACATGGATTCCTAGCCATACCGGAATTGAAGGGAATGAAAGAGCAGACATGATGGCAAAACAAGCAACCAGTGACCAAACCATTGAAGTATTGTACTCACTTTCCAAAGATGACCTTAAAAGAGAAGCCAAACATTTCATAACAAACTTATGGCGTAAAGAATGGCATTTACTGAGGGACAACAAGTTAAGAGAAATTAAACCCACCACCGATAGATGGATTAACCCAACAAATTTAACAAGACAACAAGAAGTAATTTTAACCCGCTTAAGGATTGGACACACCTGGCATACCCACAAACACCTCATGGACAAAACAGACCTAGAACCATGCATCACCTGCGGATCCGAAATCTCCATCAAACATCTGCTACTAGAATGCCGCCAATTTAATGAAGAAAGAACCAAACACAACATTCCCAGCAGTCTCTCCGTATGTCTCAACAATGAACCCCTAAATATCAACAGAACACTTAGTTTTATAAGAGACACTAATTTACATAAAACCTTGTAACCAAAAATCTAAATTATTTTTATTCTTTTCCTTTGTTATAATTTACTACATATTTTTAAGTATTTACCTATAATGTATTAATCAGTTTGTTAAAATTAATCGCGGCCAATGACCTATGCAGTCGAGGCCTTGTTCCTTATAATAAAAAAAAAAAAAAAAAATAATAATATTTTTATAGTAAAATATGTTATCCTCTAGAAAGCGCGAACATTTCATTGTACTCATTATGTGATCGTCGTTACCCGGTGATCCGAGAATACACAATATAGATAATAATGTTATGTATACTATTATGTAGAGTCCGACGGAAATTTTTCTTTTCGCTAATCGGAAAACAATTGTGGCGTTTCCGTAAACGACAACAATACCGCGTATTATTTACTTTAATGTAATCGGTCGCGTACCCATTGTGATGAGTTCCGTTTGTCGACGAGTCTGTTTGTTTGACTTTTTATTAATACGCCAGTTGTTAGTACATAGAATTTATTATAACCACGGCAATGAATTATTCAAACTTATACCAAATATTTATTCAACGGCGAAATATGTACACAAGCGTGTTAATTATATTTTGCACAAGTGTTTCTATTATGTCTGCAATATAATGATATTACATAGTATTGTATCGAAAATGGAAATTTGAACTGCGTTCACTTTACGCAGAAGAGCGGCGGCGTTCGATTAAAAATTCATTAATTTTCACTTACAAATTGTTAACGCATTTGTTAAGTTGAATAAACATATTATTTTGTAAACGTTTTTGACGTCGATAAATTGTATGGTCACCATTACACTTTCTTTGAAATAAAAATTTATTTCTCATTCAGAAAATATTATTATATTATTATAACCAATTATTTTCTATACCTAGTCAATTTCGTGCAGAAATAACGTACAGACGAATTAGTATAATAACGAATATTCCAATCAAACAGTTTTGTTTTTGATCATCAATTGGCTGTACGACTTTCCAAATATTAATAGCGAATTCGGGATGTCTCGATGAGAAATCCGCATATCGCGTGCTTAGATGACACCGGGAAATAATACAAACACCAAAAATAAGAACTGATGAAAATTTAAAATCTACTTCTAAAATCTGTCCATTTTATCGGCGCTATAGTACTTGTTTTGGACTGCAATTCGCTCGAATGATTTACGAGTATAGTCTTCCGAATTATTTTTCATTTAGCGGCATCTCTCTAGGTACATGTTAAAGCTACAACTTTTTTTCCAATACGCCGTTTTTCCAGTGACAAACTCGAACAACAATTGTTATTTTCCAAGTACCGTGTGGACGGTAAGTACATCGGTCGTTAGCCTGCAGTCACAATCCTCCGCCACTTAAGTGGATTAATCAATTCCAGGTGGGTTACTGGAGACGCTCGTCAACTTTTTCTCTTTTCCGTAGTATTAGAGAGCCTTACCTCGTAGTCATTCGAGGCAAAATATTGTTTTTCACTGAGACGCCTTTTCGTAATATCATCTACTAAGAATTCGTAGCATAAAATATTTTTTACAACATGTAGCGAAGATTGGCGAAGTCAAGTCATTCTAAATGTTTATCATGTTTGAAAAACGTGCATACTGATCCATCACAAATGTAGCGTATTACATAATATTACAGAAGCCCAGTTGACTAGTTGTATTATTTTCATAGTAAAAGAAACAATACTTACCTGAGACAATTATTTGTATAAAAACGTTATAATTAAATTCTATATTATTATGGTGATGATTTTCGCAAGTATACGAAATCGATCCTTCATTTATTTACTTCGGCGACTGCGACGGCCAAGGCATATAATACTGTGCTCTGCGTATTTATTATTAATATTATCATACTCCTCCATTGTGTGCTCGTCGTGGGTAGTAAATTAAGAGGATATCATTTCCATAGTCCGTCGCGATCAATCATTCTTGTGACTATTTCAGAGTCAACTGTCGCCGCCGGCAGGCTGTCACGATGAGGTTGTTTCGTTATTGTGTAGGACCCGCGAATGCGATTGCTGCACACGTGCTGACATCCGGTGATTTGTAATAACAATATTATTATTATGTTCAAGCGTGTGTATACATTATGTATTATAATATATAGAAACCGAACACAGGTTTATCGGACCTAATCTCGGTTAGTACGACAACATCGGTTAGCACGACTGAAATTTATGACCAATAATGTACTTGCGACAAGGTGACGGTTTCGGGTGTGTTATACATAATACTATTATGGTTATACCGATACACCCTAAACTAATACACGATTGGCCGAGTAATGGATTAATATCGATATGCTATAGAAAAAAAAAACATTGAAATTATTTTTGCAAAATTCCAATTTTTTATATTAGGTTAATACGATTGCAATATTTTGAATACACTTTATCGAAAAACCCAAAGGTAAATTTCAAAGTATTTAAATAGCCTAGTTAGATTATATAGGACCTATATAATAATATATTACGGATTTTCGATGTTGTACGTGCGGATTTCAGTTGAATGTATGATAGTATAATTATAGACCACCTCTTACAAGTGCACATTTCATTGTAAAAAGTTCAAAAGCAATAAATTATTATAATATTCAAAATTGCATACCAGCAAAGTTTAAATGGTTTTAAAAACGATTTTCAAAAACAAATTATATTGTGTCTAACTAGGTATATTATCGAATTAAATAAATGCGATATTTGTAACACGGCGCATTGTGTAGGCAATTCGGGTGCGCGCACGCGTTGGGTAACACTCGTGGGTCGCCACAAACACCATAACGTCATCATAATACGCTAGTAAATCTCCCATTATTATTATTGTTATTATTATTATTATTATTTCACCCGTAACCGCGTAACTGTGCCAAGACCGGCCAAGAGCTCTTATATGCAAATACTGTCGCGGACGTCGTGAAACCGTTCTCGGCCAAATTGCGCCGATTTTACGTTGCTATCCTATTCGAAAACGATCATAAAATATAATTATATTATTGTATTATATTGCCATCGTATTGTGTTGTTCACCGCACACTACCACCAAGGTTTTGGTAAATTATTATTATTCTTTTCAGAGACTTTTCAGTCTCAGCATTCAGTAACGTCGTATGTCACTATATTATTATTATATTATTAGTATAACTGTATAGATTGTAGTGACTCTATAAAGACGGGTCGGCGTCCAGACTCCGGAAATCAAACCGTTTTATCATCGTTATTACTGCCGCATAATATTTTTTAAATTAATCAAACAATGATATTATTATAGTTGACATATTATGTGAAACCAAATTAATGCTAATGTGCTTATTATTACAACGAGAAAATATTTGCACACCAATTATATTACTGATAATAACTTGGTTAATGGATATAACATAGACGCTATAGAATATAATACTAATAAGTAGGTACTTAGGCACATAGCAAAAATAGTTTTGAAAATAAACTTTTTAATATCATACTACGTCTGTAAAAAAATCAAATTTGTTATAAAAAACGTTAAAAAATATTAATATTACGTTAGAACATTTTGATATTACTTTAGCTTGAAGATTAACAATATTTTTCAATATTAACAATATGTCAATATATAATAGTTATTAAGTAATACACGTATGAAGTTCGGATATTTGAATTCCATTAGCTGTTGAATTAAATAATAATATTTCGATACTTCGATACAAATAGCGTCAATTAGCGCCAGCAAGGATGGCGTCTACTTAAATAGACAATTATTTTTGTACGGTAAAAAAAATTGTCCACTGTAAATTTATATAGTAATCCATGCACACCGACCACATATTTTTTCAGAAATCTTTGAAGTTGTTGTCACTTATGATGCCTGTATAATCACAGTATTTGAAATATAAACACTGCCCTGTAGGCCGTAGTTACGTTTCATGTACCAATTTCGATTTGATTATTATAATTTAAACGATAATAATTTTTAAATGCGACGGTCCAGGGTTGGAATGGATTAGGAACATTGGGTGTAGCTATCACATAACTATGACCATGTCTACCAAATAATAGTTTACGGATAATGTATAATGAAAGTATCTTATATAGTATAATACTGGACAATTATGCGATTGTGCAGCTCTCCAAGTAATTGCTTTTTAACCTGCTAACCGTAGATTTACCTAACCAGTCCTAGTAATCGAAATTACCATGTGAGATTTGCATCATTAATTGCTTGATTTTTACGTTTGAAACATTTCAAGATTTGTGTTACAGATCAAGTCCATCCAGCCGATATACTATACGAGCGAAGACATCGATGCCATAGTGCGATCGTTTATTTCGCCCTATACAATGACATAGATATTCTTGAACTACTTAAAATAATGTGTGTTTTATGTTAAATGACTATCACATAAACTATATTTTATATTCGCATCGTATGCGTTATATAATAATATTATGTTACATGCGAATGCGAGTGAAAAACTATATTATAGTTCGAACTAGTACGCCAGTCGAAACTTTTCGTCCGGAACACTACGATTTTCTTTTTTTTGTTGATGTTGTTGTTGTTGTTGTTGATCTTCGTGCCCACATATATTTTTGTACTTGTTTGTTTTTCCCTTTGTCTCTGGTAATCTGTTCGATGTATGACGTCAAAATTCGGATGACTTGAAATCGAAAACGAACAGATTACAAGTGTCCCAAGATACTATCTTACATCATATTATATTATTATGATGATTTTTACACATTAATATTATTATGTCTTCAATTACTACTGTTCTATGTCTTTCTTCAGACTTCGTTCTGCTATTGTTTTTCTTGTATATGATAACTTCAGTGGATTCGTTCGCGAATACAAGCAGGAGCTATGGTGGCTGAATTAGGCCTTAGGTACTTGAAATGTATCAGAGATTACCTTAATTTTTAGTTGGTTAACTGCTATAGTAGAGAGGGTATAGGGTCGAACTATACTTAAAATATATTATAATTTTATATTTTTTATTGACATATTTTAGTGATTGATAATCGAACATTTTT